CTTTGTTAGTCTCATTTAATAAACTAATTAATTCTTTATTTAAATCTTTATAGAAATTGATGATATGTGACACATGACAATTACATAAAAATAATAGTTATGACTCTTCGCAACTTGCTTATTAATGAAAAAATAATAACGAACGTAAATTGCACTTATTTTTATTGGCATTTTTGATTTGCATCTACCAACTTTGGATTGGATTATTAGCAATCGCAAGAACAAAAGGGTACAATTAAATTAAATTACTACGAGATTTACGTGGAATAACTTTTATTCTATTAAACGTTGAATTTACAGGCAGCAATCGATGTTATCACCGCTAGATTTCTCCCGAGCAAACAACCAATAGCCAAGAACACCGCCGAGTACCACAGCCAGACAAAGCAAAGTATTGTAAGTCATGAAAATTAACATGAGGCAATAGCCTATGGCCAGTTGGAAAGCATGTAAAATTGTTTGAAAGACATGTATCTTAGAGAAAAGTGACCTGAAACAGAATCCGATCTTTTAACATACACTCGCGTTTATAATTAAACTGTAGATTTTCATGTATTAAGACATGAATTATCACATGAATTAAGACATTTATGATATCAGTTCAAGAAATGTGTTTTAAATTAACATTTCTTTTATTTAATATTATTTTCACGTGATATTTGTTATTTCTGTACAGTCGATCCTTTTGTAATTACATCGAATCTGCAGTGTAATTAGAATAAATAGAATTTTCACGTAGGTAATCACATGCAAGATTGTTAAATTTTATTTAAGAAAACAAATACATACGATTCACGGCTGTTTCCTGTATTTTTTTTTAAACGTGTTACGTTGATATACAAGTGATCGCTTGAAACATAAGAGATAATAATTTATTTATTTTTCAATCTGTTTGTTACTTGTAAAAAAGTCTCTTACCGATAGCTCTTCAAACCTTCGTAAATAGACGTCAACAGAATAATACCGACCATCGACCATCCAAGACCGTCCCAACTCATTGTATGCCATTCGTCAAACAAGATAATTTCATTTTCACCGATATGAAATGACATCTAATACAAACTGACATTGTAAGATAAAATGGAACATCGTAATGTTAAACAGCGTTTAATTACTCACCTTCATTTTCACGATTATAGAGAAATGATGTTGATCAGTGAACTACACAACAAGTCTTTGCTTTACACAGTCTTGTGAAGCTGTCAAGTATCAAGAAGTAATTTCTTTATCAAATTGCAGATAACGTATCTGTGATGTGCATTCATTCCTACCTGTAACGCGTACTCTTACATTCATTTCTTGAAAGTGGGGAGAAGATTAAAAATGTTAAGTTAATCTGTGGATTCGGTAAAAAATGTAGAAAAATGTAGATGTAGCGAAATTTTATCTGCACAGAACATAAAGATTGCTTGCCATGTAGACTTCGCAATGCGTAAGTGATAAAAGTCAATGCTTTAGTCATAATTGTTAAATTTGCAGTTTGTTGGTGTTATTTATTTCAGATAGTAATTACAATTTCATTGTTGTTACCACTAATTCTATCGTCACTAACAATTCATTATTTCAAATGATTATTTATTATTTTATTTTAAATAACATATGCCCAATTCTGCTTACTGCTAATGTCTACGTAAATTAATTAAGTCCGTGGGTTTTATGCATTTATAGTAGCACTATATCTGTAGAAGATATAAAAAGTGCAATCAATATCAAAGAATACATAGAATATCAAGACTGAAATGTATTTTATTGTAAAAAGTTCCTATTTAGATTGCCTTTTCCAAATAGAAATTATAAATGTTCCATTTTGCATAAAAATGATTGTGATAAAAATGAAAAAGATTTCTGTCACAAACAATATGTACACTTTCTAATTTCGAATCTGCAATTCGATTTTTCTCACCACTCATAGCTTTCTTCCCACAGAAAAAATGTTCAACTCCAAATATGCAGCGGTATAGTAGTTACTAAGTATTCAACTCTGTGTCACACGAAAACCCTGTGCAATGGAAAAAACGGATTGTACGTGAAAATGTAGCACGAAAAATGATACTAAAACACTTCAAAAATTTATTGTAACGAAAAACTCAAAGTAAAATTTTGTAGGCCAGTGAATTCTTTGGATTATTGCAATCTGGCGAAAGAGAGAAAAATTACTATTTCTAAAGATATCCCGTTTCGGCTTTCGCCCTCCAATCACTGCAGACGGGTTCATTGTCCCGCATTCCACGGGTGAGAGTATTATGCGCGGCTGCGTGATTTCGATGTAGGTATAGTACTGTGAAATAGTGAACAGCGTCTACAGCCTAAAACGTGTACATTTCGTCTTAAAATCTCCGGTAATCTTCAATTTTTAAGGAATAAATTATCTTTCAATTTCATTTTCATTAACGGCCTAACTACTGAATTCTCCATTAAAATTCGAAACAAAGTATCGATTTTCAAATGTCTATTAAGGCCGACGCATACGAAAAATCTTTCAGTTTTTAAATTACAATTTCCCAGTCGAAAATCATCTGGCCGAGTAAGAGTCAAAGTAAACTGGTTAGTTAATGAAGACAACGAAAGTGTAGTATCTCATAAGAGATGCAAAAATTAAATCTTTAATAACTTCCTTCTTAGATACCCTCGCTCTCTAAAAGGAGCACGCCTTTTTAGAAATTTTATATAAAATTATACTAAATTCAATTAGAATGAACAATTTGCATGACTTAATGAAGAAATCAATTTTTCTTGGGATACAGATTTTGCAGGTTCGTGGTTTTGGTATCGCGGAGACGATATCGAGGAAGGTACGCTCGCACGAAAGTCTGGTTCCGAAAACGATTTCGATCGCTTGTTAGCCCCAGACGCGAAAGCCGAACGTTCGAGGAAGAAACGAACGTACACATAGCACGGTACACGGGGGGATGTTAAGTTAATCGATTTCTCTTTCTGTCGCTTCGGCAGAGAGAGGGTGTCCTCCCCGCTTCGCGATCAGCCAAGATGCCCGCTCGGCGCGGCGGCCTCGGGCTGCGTGAACGAGGCGGGCGCAACCTGTGGCTGATCCTGACCGCCGCGCCTCCCTGCGTCCGGAAATTCACCCACGCTCGATTCTCAAACTCCCTTCAGTGCCATTCTCACCGTTCGACCGTCTGCGTGGACGATGGTAAGGGCTCTCCTCCTACGAGAGAAGCCCTGTCTCGTGTGCTGAAACGCCGCCGAACAACTCTACTCGTCGTACGTACGGCGATGCGATCGCGACACGGAACTCGTACGCCACGGAGTTGTACGCTTCGCGACGTTCGAGCTAATCGCTCACCCTTCCACCTACGTAAATAGTTCCTTCCCGAACGGTGCACCGTTTCATCGTTCGCAGAGTGTCGCGCCGGTTCAGACGTAATCCGTCGATCGTCGAACGAGCAGAGGCGATCAGTCTTTTACACGGAACTCAACTCGATGAAGGAAATCATTTTACGGGGTGCGCAAGCTATCGCTGATTTCGACAAGGTTAGTACACTTTCACCCCATCGAAGGTCGTCCAATCAATTTATCAGTTAAGACGAAAATGTATGTCTCTCATCATTTAATATCGTTACGTGTATTCCGCTTTCAGATGTTTCTTATATATTTATCTATTTTTCTACGAACGCATCAAACTCGTAATCACTTTTATTTTGCACTCGTTCGCCTGCTTCCATTCCCCTTACGCTGCTAATTACCCGCGATCGAGATGTATCAACAGGCGAGCTCGGCATATACTCGCTGGTACAGTCGTCGTATTTTTACTAGTTCCGTTTGTTTGGAGGGATTTCTCAGCAGCTAGACTGGGCAGGGTCAATGTTCTATCACGAGGTATTCGTTCGTGTGTAGGTATCACACGCGCACACAAATGCTGTTACGCCTGTGCCCGTGGCGACGGTACCAGTAGTAGTACAAGTAGGATGAAACAAAAAGTTGCGCACTGTTTCTCTTTCTGTTGAGAATTCGTCGAGCGAATCAAGAGAGTTGGCCGTCTACTCCGCCACCGTCTCCTGTTCCCACCGAAGAATTATTACCTGGGAAAGTAGAAAAAGCGAGACACTCGTCAGACGCCTGTCACGCTTATACTACTTGCTTACTCGTGTCAAGCCAGAAACGTTATTCCCTATTATTTATTTATTTCAGATTGATTAATTTATTTGAAATTTAAGGGGATAGATTCAGATAGCAGTAAGGCAGACTGTCGACGTTAGCTGCAAAATTTACAATATTAACACTTACACCAGCTTTAGCCCGTTTTAGTTGAACTTTATATATTAACATTTTTACTGTTTTTAAGAGTTTAGTTCTAATAATTATTTTATGTCCACTTGATAAAAGTTTTGATTGGATCGTATACGTTGGAACGTACAGTTAAAAGAAGGATATATAAGACATTAATGTCAGAAAGAAAGCATATTATGATTTTTATCTAATTCAATCAGAGTTGGAATTGAAACCTACAGTAAAAAATTTTCAGATAATCTGCCTACTATAATTTGAACATTTTTCAGAACAGAATAAATGTTTTTGTTCAAATAAAACATTTTCTTACTCTTAAGAGAATGAAGGTTTTACTTAATGCACGGCATTTTACGACAGTTTTTTCTGAACAATAAAGATAATAGTTGTTAAATTATAGTTATTCCATATCTGACTGAAAATTTTAACAACTTCGTTGAAGTCGTATTCGAAATGACGAAAAAATTTCTAAATATAAGTTTATTATTATTACTTACAAATATATTTTCTTATGCATTCTGTATTTTACAACAATTCTTTCTTTAGAAATTCAAGAATTAACGCGTAGTAGTCGTATTACTAGCCAAGACGATCTGTTGTATGATAGCAAATTACAAATAATTTTCATGTAACCTTCATTCAACTGCACATGCACATCGCTTATTACGCAATCATCTACGTAATGAAACCGGTATTATACAACTCCGTCGAAGCAGCACAATGGATATAGTTTACACTCACGACAACTGAGATTAGTAACTCGGAACGAATAATATAATTAACCTGACATTTCCCAAATTACGGAAACGATAAATAAATCTCGCGTGTACACGTGTTTCATTATTTTAATAATTGGTAGTCTCAAATTTTAAATCAAATATTCTTCAGATAACATAATTATCAAACAAGATTAAATGTAACAGGTTCTGTGAATACATAAAAACGATGACAAAGCATTGAATTTTTAACACTTACTAGATATTACATTAACAAAACACTGTACAAAATTTGGCGAGCCAGTTAAGAAAGTTAATTCATCTTGAATTCTTATATGGAATGACAGAATTTTGAAAAAATATGAATGCAACAATGACTGAATTTCGTAATTTTGTATAATTCTTAACACATGATTTAAGAATATTTTAAAGTTGAAATATTGTCAATTTCGAGGATATTATTTAAGATATACATATAATACAAGGTATGCAAAAGAAAAAAATACTGGAGAAAAATTGACGATTGATGCGCATGAAAGCCTCGAAACAATCGAAAATAAAATACAATAACAGTACAGATTTTCAAAACACAATTATAGAATGAAAAGAAAATAGTATTTAAACGACATTAATAATTATTTTATCGTATTTCAATTAAAGTATAGCAGTTATACAATTCTCCATATAATTTTGCATAAGATTCTGTACGTCCATAATTCTCTATATAATCCTCCATGTGAGACTGTGTAATCCTTTCAATGCCAGCATTCACTTCAACATTTAACGAAGTTTAAATATAATTTTATTACTAAAAAAGAAACAATCGTACGTGTGTACAAGACATACGACAAATAACAAACCGTAATTAATAGGAGAAGTGAGCTCGAACCGCAAGGGAGTCTCATTAAATGCATAATTACCTGCTACTGAAATGGGAAGAAAATATCGTTCATAATTTCAGCAGCCCCTCTACCTCGATGACTCTAATTATATGCGTTTAAAACGAAAGTTCCTAAAATGCTAATTTAGTGTCTTAAGCCGTATGAATAATTCCCCGTCACCTCCTCTTTCTCTTTTTTATAGACGCTTCAGGCAACACCTGAACGAGAGGATAAAAAGACAATGCGAGTATATAGGCGCATATAATTAGCATCTTCGTTGTTGTTATAAAAATAACGTAGATACGATCACTCTGACCTACTATGCCTGCAATGTTTTATAATTAAAAGCTTGATACAGTCAATTATAATACCAACAGCGGAAATCAAATGATTCTAACAAATCCTAATTTGTATCTTTCATGATTTCTTTTTGCATTTCGA